AGCAGGGGGAGCAGTTGGCACCACACGCTGCATCTTCACCCCACCACCAACCTTGCATAATCACCCCCATTGTGGGCCATGGGACCCCCCCACTCACTGCTGGTGGGGAGGGGGGTGGCTGGCAAGCAGGGATCCGGCAAGCAGCAAGACCCACCCGTACTGATGTGGGGGTGGGGGGGGGAGAGAGACAGAAAATACGGGACAATTGACCCATTTTTAAGAAAGTCAGGATACCTGTAGTAGGGCTTAAATATGGGACTGTCCCTTTAAAAACAGGACATCTGGTCACCCTACCCTAGCCTCAAATGGCAGCCTTGAGGATTGCTGAATTCATTTAAATGGAATACAGGGCCAAAAGTGTTAACGTAACACCATCACTATCCAACATTAAACACCGTTAAAGAAGGTCCAGGCTTTGATATAGCAACCTCAGCCTTCCTAGTACCATGGCAAACTGTGATAGTCTATACTACTACAGTCACCACTTTTACAAGATTACAACTTTTGTACAAAACATGCCTTGTGAGGTGCCATTTGAAAACTCAGTGCGGTGAGCATTATTATCCTGATAAAATGTGTATCAACATTGTCTGTGAAGTTGTTTCTACTGTATAACATTGCTTTAACGTGTTCCAGAGTTAGAAAAGTAGGTCCACACCAGTTTTTCAGAGACAAAGACACACTAGTACCCCTGGACAGGTATTAACAAAGTCAAGTGGGCTATCGCTTACGTAGGCAGCCATTCTCCAGCAACAGGAAGGTGTGAATAAGTAGTTTACATTGCATCACAGGAACGTTTCAAACCTCACATCCACAATGGACTCCATAATTCAGCAAGGCTGTTTCTGGCACAAGAAACTGAGTTATAAAGAACAGGAGTATTTGTGGCACCTTAGAGACTAACAAATTTATTTGAGCATAAGCTTTTGTGAGCGACAGCTCACTTCATCGGATGCATTCAGTTATAAAGGGGGAGGAATATACTTGACTTTGCCTCTCCTCCTGTGTCTCTGCTTATGATAACAACTCTCAAAGAGCTGAACTAAGGGCGTTGTGGTCCCAGGCTGGAAGGGGACCCAGCCTATGAAATTTACAGCAGCATATGGTGACAAAACCTTTGCTTTTAAAGACATTCAGCTTGTTAAGTTAGGTATTAGCTTGCGCATTATTCTTTTATTTATTTTTTGTAACCAATGTTGACTTTTTTGCATTATCACTTGGAATCACTTAAAAATCTCTCTAGTTAATAAACTTATCTTCGTGTATTTGGATTAAAATGTGTGGGAAGCTCCAAATAGGATAAGCAAGGCTGGTGCATATATAATTTTCCTTTGATGAAATGACAGAGCTTACATTGTTCAGTAGTGTGTTGGACAGTACATGATGCACATTTCTGAGGGGAAAAGGCTGGGACTAAAAATTTGCGGGTGTTGCCTTGTCTGTAATTCATGAGTGACTGGTTAGAGTGCTCATGTATTGAACTGGGAGTGACTCTGCATGGTGAAGGCTGTGTGAGCAGGCCAGGAGTGGATGTTCTGACAGCATAACAGTGTCAAGGGCACCCTAAGCTAGAGAATTAAGGGGACACAGCTGTTCAACAGTCCAGATTGTACCCTGGGAATGTTAAACAAATATACTGTTAAAAATCCTTTTAACCTTTTTATTGAAGACACAGTAAAGAAAAACAGTTAAAGTATGTGAAATGTAAAGCATTAAATGAGGCCTCCATTTTTAACAGCATCCCTTCAGCTGGGGAGAGATTTTTAAGAAGAAAAACCCCCTTGGTTTGACCGTCTTAGATAATATCACAGATGGTAATAACAGTCCTTTGGGGAAAAGAGAAGAAGTTAGTTGAGAGGAGCTGCTGCTGCGAAGGTCCAATCCCGTTTCATCACAGGTGGTGTTTGGGATTCAGCTGGAGCTGGCAGAGCTGGCAATGTCATCTCAGTCCCGGTCAGGACATCTCTCAGGATTAGGATGGAGAAGGCTTGGGGTTCCAGGAGACGGTAGGGATGGCAGCCATAATGGTGAAGCTCGCTTCAGTAACCTCTGTCTGTTCTACATTCTTCCTCCCCACCCCAAAGTCTCTTTCTTTAACAACCCACAAAGGGAATGGTCGGTGGAATAGCCCATCCCCTCATTATTTTATCTACTAATTAGGTCTAATATAACAGTTTGGAGCCATTAATTTCCAGTTCTACATCTTCTGTTTTTACCAAGTATGATTTTAACATAGTCCTTGAGTTATATCACCGTGGCCTTTTTTGTTTGGACTAATTTAGTGGCTGTCTGGTTCTTTTGCACATATTTATAATGTTATAACATTATTGAAAGCAACTTGACATGCTTTCCATCAATGGGTATTATACGTTATTGTAACATTTTATGGACTTTCATATACTTTTCACAACTGAGCTTACAATGAGGGTAAATTGGCCACCCCAGTTATTACAACAGAATCTTAAAGTTGTTTGTTAAGTACAATTTAATTTTTAATAAAAACAATTTAGAGCTTTTAAAAGAAAATTAAATTCTTCTAGGTTTTGGTTGATTCTGTAATAAATTAGTGGAGTTCTCTCCATAAGGTCCAGTAGCAAAGGCCTGAATTCACAGAAGTAGTGATGCATTGTGAACATCACAATGCTTAACTGTTAAGCACCTAGAAAACCACTGTGCTTCACAAAGCCTGAAGTTAGACCTTAGACTGAAATTCATAAAAGCCAGCATGCTAGGTGGAGTTCTGCCTAAGATAGACAATGGGAAATGCTGATGACATGGGTGTGTGCTAAGTCCAGCCTCTGTCTCAGTGATAGGCACCTATGTCTGGGCTGCAGGGAGGCACATCTCTCTGCTTGGGATTCTCCATTACAAACCCTCTCTTGGTGTTAGGGGCCTATGCAGTTTTAGCAAGAAGCAGGGGAGATGAGGAGCTTCCTCATAACTTTTAGCTCAGTGGTTAGAGTATTCACCTGGGCTGTGGGAGACACTCCTCCCTGCGCTTTTCATATCGCCCAACTCCTCCATCTGATGGGGAGAAGGGATTTGAACTGGGATCTGCCTAACCATTGGGCAATGGGATAGTCTGACGAGGGACTCCCTCAGTCTCTCTTGTTGAAGCTGTTGCACTCTAGATAAACTAGAGTGATTGGAGAGCAGGGGGGAGACAGTATCCTGGTTCTCCTCCCACTCATCTGAGTGCTCTTATCAGGCAACAGTCATTCTTACACACACATGCTCTCTCACTCTTTCTCTGAGTTGTTTGAGCTTACCAGATCAGGCCACACATGCAACTTAAGTGAGCAAATGCCCATCTTCCCCTGGGCTGTGAATAGCTCTGGGGCTTAGGGAGGTGCCTCTAGGGAACTTTTACTGCAAAAACTTGGGTGCCAAGTGAGTTCAGGCACCTACAGGATTCAGCGTGAATTCTGTGCATTGCCTTGATGCTTGACTCCTTTTGTGCATTCAGGCTCAAGTGGCCGCCAGAAGTCTAGCTCTAATTACTGCGAAACTAGGTCAGTTATCTCATATGTGTAACAAACAGCAAGAGGAAAGGAGAGGAGCAGAGTCACCTACGGTAACAGTTTTCTCCAGTAAAAAAGAGAGGTAGACAAAGCCCAAAGGAACATGTGTCCTGCATGAGGAACCAGATTTCTTTGTCAGGAAAGACCAAGCTAGCAAGCCTTAGAAGTGGGCCTTAACCTTTTGCCCCTATTAAAACTCATGTATCAGTCCCAGAAACTCCTATGTATGAAAATCAGATGTCAAGAATTATAACATTCATAAACCAGTCGGAGAACACTTCAATCTCTCTGGTCACGCAATCACAGACATGAAGGTCGCTATCTTAAAACCAAAAAAACTTCAAATCCAGACTCCAGCGAGAAACTGCTGAATTGGAATTCATTTGCAAATTGGATACTATTAATTTAGGCTTAAATAAAGACTGGGAGTGGCTAAGTCATTATGCAAGGTAGCCTATTTCCCCTTGTTTTTTCCTACCTCCCCCCTCCCCCCCAGACGTTCTGGTTAAACTTGGATTTAAACTTGGAGAGTGGTCAGTTTGGATGAGCTACTGCCAGCAGGAGAGTGAGTTTGTGTGTGTGTGTGTCCCCAGGAAAAGGGCGGGGGGGTGAGAGAGCCTGGATTTGTGCTGGAAATGGCCCACCTTGATTACCATGCACATTGTAGGGAGAGTGGTCACTTTGGATGAGCTATTACCAGCAGGAGAGTGAGTTTGTGTGTGTATGGGGGTGGGGGGGTGATAAAACCTGGATTTGTGCTGGAAATGGCCCACCTTGATTATCATGTACATTGTAGGGAGAGTGGTCACTTTGGATAAGCTATTACCAGCAGGAGAGTCAGTTTGTGTGTGGTTTTTGGAGGGGGGTGAGAGAACCTGGATTTGTGCAGGAAATGGCCCACCTTGATTATCATGCACATTGTGAACAGAGTTGTCACTTTGGATGGGCTATTACCAGCAGGAGAGTGAGTTTGTGTGGGGGGGCGGAGGGTGAGAAAACCTGGATTTGTGCTGGAAATGGCCCAACTTGATGATCACTTTAGATAAGCTATTACCAGCAGGACAGAGGAGGTATTGTTTCATGATCTCTGTGTGTATATAATGTCTGCTGCAGTTTCCACAGTATGCATCCGATGAAGTGAGCTGTAGCTCACGAAAGCTCATGCTCAAATAAATTGGTTAGTCTCTAAGGTGCCACAAGTACTCCTTTTCTTTTTAAGTAAGTAGGATAGCCCTTATCAACTGTAGCTAGAATTTGGTGGCAAGGTGAGACTGTACACTTCCCCCACTCTTTTTATATAGATGATTATGGGACATCACTCACAACTCAATCCCATCAATTACAAACATTCAACCTTTCACATAACTCAGCAACTAGAGAAACTTGTACTTTCAAGTATTAGATTCAGATAAACTGAAGGCTGCCTTTGGCTCCATTTCTTGAACTTGTGAAATAAAGAAGTGCTGGCACAATCTCAACTTCTGGATTCCACTCCTCTGAAGCATACAAATTTATTATATCTACACATAAATAGTATCTACAAATACACATATACATAGCGCACACTGTACAGTGAATGGAACAGGTATTTTCAAGACTGGCTCAGCTTTACAACTGACAAGTCTCAACCTACCTTTAAAAACTTGCTCTCTGCAGCATATGATCACAATGGTGGAGTAAATGTGAATGGAAACAGGCCAAATGTGGTACTAATTAAAGGTGAGCTCATTCCTGGGCATTGCCTACTTTAAATAGGATAGCTATAGATTCAGATATGCAACATAGATTTTTAGTGTCCCAAATTCATCTTTACAACAAAACTGAAGTAAACAGAATTTCTAAAGAACACAAAAAAGCTTGTTTTGAAAACCCTGTATTTTTAAAAGTGTCATGAATTCAAGTCTTATTTTCCTTTACATTTATGGACATAAGATTAATGCTACAAACATTCTGAATCTCATCTGTAAACAAATTGCAGGTTTACCTAGCACTATACCTAGCTATAAGGTTGAACTATTAACTAAAAGGTTTCCCTTTAAAATGAATAACCTTTAATGACCATTGTCAAGTTTAAAAATAAAATGACTCTTCTGATCTCTTAACTGTTGGTGGGAGAGGGAAGGGACAATCCCACCTTCCTACAATCCACAATTAGCTACCTCCACTAAGGAAATGATTGATTAATGTATACTTTGTCAATCCTTCAGTATGTGTCTAAGCACAAGGCTTTGTAATGTTGCCATGTGTTGTTTTCAGAAGGATACTCAGGCAGTAGGAATGACTGCATAGCATTACCAGCCCTATAGTGAGATTTTTTTTTCTAGCTTCTTAAATGCTAAAATTCAAGAATCCTATATGTTTCTCATTTAATGATGCTGTAGTTTTACTAAATAATTTGGTACTGTCTCAAATAACCACACTGAATTCAAACTATAGTATTTAAACCCCAACTCTATTGCAATATATGTAAAGTTTATAATTTACCTGCTATAAGACTTAGAGCATAATGAACTAATTCAGCAGTTTCTCCCTGGTCCTCTGTCGGAGTTTGGAAACCAGGTTTGAAAAGGAGTTTCAGTTAATGTGGGCTACCCGGGAGTCAGAGCCAAGGATGTTAAACATTGTGGTCACCAGTTCAGAAAGATCAAAGTCATGTTTCCATCCCCAATCTCTCCGGGCATTGCTGTCATCAAAGTTCATCGGCCAACTGTCAGCTACAAGGAAGGGAGGGGGGGGGGGGAGGAGGAAAAAACCCAGAGCATGAGATTTATAGCAAAGATCTTTCAAAGTTTCATAAGTAAGTACCAGAGTAGAGTTTCAAATAGTACAGCAACACTTCCAGATGTCATCAAGATCAAAACAAACTGCAAGTGTCTAAGGAGAACACATAGGAGATGAGGGGGGGAAAAGGGAAATACTGTTCTGTCCCAGCATCTGACTTCACCCAGACAAGTTTGATACAGGATCACTGGAATGGAATGGAATGAAAAAGCAGATACTAACCAATGGCTTGCCTGACAGCATCCACATTGTAGGTCACCTGGAGCTCAGGAATATGCTTCTTGACCTCTTGCACCAGCTCCTCAGGAGAGAAGCTCATGGCACTGATGTTGTAAGTCCTCATGCTAAGTGAAGCGGCAGGCACTTCCATGACATCTAGCGTAGCCTTCAGGCAGTCATCGATATACATCATTGGGAGGTGTGTGTCTGATTTTAGATTGCACTGGAATTTGCCATTCTTTATGGCATCATGGAAAATCTGGACTGCATAGTCTGAAGGAAAAAAAAGTTTCCTTGTACTCCCCCATCTGTACTCATCTGTCTTACACGTAGATCATAAGCTCATTGGGGCAGGGGCTGTCTTTGTTGTTCTGTGTTTGTACACCAGCATAATGGGGGTCTTGGTCTATGACTTGGGCTTCAACATGCTATGGTAATGCAAATAAATAAAATATTAAAAATTCTTTTCAGAATCCTAGAAATGCAGCCATCTCTGGGGTGGAATCATATTTCATTCCTGTTTCCTGGGGCCATTCAGCACCTCTCAGATTAGTTTCAGCAGAAGTATGCTTTGTATTTTCACCTGCATTTCAGGAGTTATTTAGATGAAGCAGTGTTTCATTTTACACAACCTTAGTCTCCTGAAAGTTCCACTTTTTCTCATGAGACCATTCTTTTAATTAGCAAAAATGTCCTCAAATGACTTTCACTGGACGATGTATGCAGGTGCACTCTAAGTTAGACATTGATAGGCACACTGTACAACACAGCACACAACATTTGGTATTAAAATACGATACAACAGATTTCTTGTCTGCAGGGCCAGCTCTACAGTTTTTGCTGCCCCAAGCAGTGAAAAATACTGCCACCACGGACGGCAAAAGAGAGAAGCTGCTGCCGATTTGCTGCCGTGGCTGGCGGAATAGAGAAGCTGCCGCCAAATTGCCACTGGCGCATTTAAATAGCCGCCCCTTTCAAGCTTCCGCCCCAAGCACCTGCTTAGAATGCTGGTGCCTGGAGCCGGCCCTGCTGGTCTGTGACTACACCTATATATGATGGCCATTATTCATTTATGTGACTGCATTTCAAAGTGACTGGTTAGTTGTTTCTTGGCAAATGAAGTCACCAGACAAATTACACCCTGATGTCCCTCTCATCTTTGCTATGTGGGGCAATCAGCTTGCACGCTAATGTTCTCACCTATAATACTGAGACATGGAAAAAGAGTTTCCTACCAGTTGTTCCCCCACCAGGCTGAGAGTCAGCAGAGATAATTCCAGGATACCTCAGACATCGGAAGTCTAGCCCATACCTGTAGTGGTAGTACTGTTGAAGAAGGAGACGAGCAAGACTTTAGACATGAAACAAGAGGGTTGCACACTTTGTTGCTTCTATAGACTAAACACACTGCATATACCAACAGTTCTTTGCATCCCTCCATTCCCCCCGTCCCCCACACTCAAGCTCCTTTCCCTCTCTATTTCACAGATTTGCTATAAGCCCTCCATCACTCTTTTATCCTGCCAACAGCTCTGTATGCACCCATGTCCCCATGCCAGGGACTCTGTGCTACAACCCATTTCCACAAGCCAGGAGCTTTGTGTGACCCCCCGCCCCCATGTCCCGCTTCCTCATGCCATTGGTGTCATATGTCAGAGGCTCTGTGACCTCCATTCCCACATGGCGGGGCACACAGTGCCTCTGATACCATTCCTACCCTTTCCCTCCTCTACCATGCCAGAATATGCAACATGTAAATAACAAATATGAATTAAATAAGAACAGTCAGTTATTTTGATTTGATTTAATCCACTCTGATGATCGGTATCCATCCTGATCCCTGGAGTCATTAGAAAATATACTGTAGGAAGACTTTCCGGTACTAATGTGCCATTCCTCAGCTGTCCAAGCCATGCCGTGCTGGTAACTGAGGAACAGGGAGGCGAAATATTTTCCTAGGGTCACAAAGAGTCAGAAGCCAAAACAATACTAAAACTCAAGTGTTCATGAACTTCCAACTTCATGCTAATTCCTCACACAGAACTTATGATTTCCCCACCCCAAACCCCTCAGGCAAAGCATCAACAGTTGCCTCATACTACTAAGAAAATATGTCTGTAGGAAGAGAAGACAGGAAGAGGAAAGAACACCGCAGTGATCCACCTTCCATCGAGACTAACAATCCATAACAAAATTCTTACTTCTCCCATGAGCTCAGCATGAACCTTGGAGACTCCATAGATCGTCCTGGGTCTCTGAATGCAGAGATCCGGAGTTGGGTTTCGGGGAGAGGTGGGTCCAAAGGCTCCAATTGTGCTAGGGACAAAGAGTCTCAAACTATGCTCAGCTGCAATATCGAGAACGTTGTGCAAACCTGGAACAAACAGAAATTATCAGAATTTAAACAAAATCTCCTCCAGAGATGTCATGTACTTGAAAGGCTAGTCAAACAGTGCTGTAATCACTTACTGTAATTACTGCACTTACCAGTAATGTTTACAGCTCTGGCCAAAGGAACATTTGCTTCTCCAACAGCACTGAGCAAAGCACTATAATGAAACAGCCAAGTAATTCGATTGTTCACCACTATTTCACGGAGATTCTTGTAGTCCAAGATATCAGAGTAGATAAAAGGACCTAAAAAAGTGGACCAAATAGAAAACTGGATGCTAAGATGACACTTTGAGACAAAATTCAATAAAAAAACAACACGAGGACCAATGAGTTCACAGGTTCTTGCCCATGTCTTTATTCAGAATCATAGAATCATAGAATATAAGGGTTGGAAGGGACCCCAGAAGGTAATCTAGTCCAACCCCCTGCTCGAAGCAGGACCAATTCCCAGTTAAATCATCCCAGCCAGGGCTTTGTCAAGCCTGACCTTAAAAACCTCTAAGGAAATATCGTTCAGTCCACTTTATGCATCAGATTTCTGCCTTCTGTAGGCAGCAACCACTAGAGCACTCATACTCTCCCTCTCTCAAAGATTCGATCACAAAGGCTCTGCAAATTTTTTTCACAGCGTGGGTCACATCTTAATAAGGACACTTTCTCATGGACGTCTGCTCTTCCATGTGCAATCCCATAACATCCTTGTAGCAGCTTCGGCACTTCACAGAAGAGTATTTAATGTATTTTGTCTACATTTAGCATCTGAAGACTAGGATAGCTAACAATGTTTAATTAGCCATCTCTGCAGACCACAGGCCAGTTTGGGACCCTCTGTTCTATCAAATATACTCTATCAACTACTGGCATATACCGATAGCGCAGTGGTTACCAACCGGTCAATTGCATTTGATGGGACAATCCTAGAGGATCTCCCAGTCGGTCGCGATCTCGGCAGTACAGCGTGGCAGCCACGAAGACAGGTGCCCTGACTACCCTGGCCCCACACCACTCTTGGAAGTGACCAGTGGGGTCCGGGGCAGACCTCCCTTTGCACACTGCTCCTGCCTGCAAGCACCGCCCCCCACAGCCCAGGAACGGGGAACTGTGGCCAATGGGAGCTGCGGGGACAGTGCTTGCAGAGAGGGGCAATGCGCGGAGCCACGTGCCGCCCACCCCCAGAGGGGCCTTCTGGGAGCAGCGCGAGGCAGGGGTAGCCAGGGAGTCTGCCTTAGCAGCAGCCATGCTGCACCACCAACTGGGAGCCGCCGGAGGTAAGTGCTGCCCAGCAGGAGATTGCACCAACCCCCAGACCCCTCCTAGAGCCAGCATCCCGAACCCGCTTCTGGACCCCAAGCCAGCACCCCGTACCCCCTCCTACACACCAACCCTCTTGCACTCAAACTCCCTCCGATAGTCTGCACCCCAACACTCTGCCCCAGCCCGGAGCCCTCTCCTGCACACAAACTCCCTCCCAGAGCTTGCACCCCTCACCCCAAACCCCTGCCCCCGGCTCAGCCCAGATCCCTCTCCCACATTGCGAACCCCTCGGCCCCAGCCCAGAGTCCACACCCCCTCCTGAACCCCAACCTCCTACCCCAGCCGAATGAAAGTGAGCGAGGGTGGGGGACAGCGAGTGATGGTGTGTGTGTGTGGAATTAATAGGGTGGGGCCTTGGGGAAAGGGCGGGGCAGATCCTGGGTTGTCCTTAAATTCAAAAAGTGATCTTGGGCGTAAAAAGGTTGGAGACCATTGCTGTAGTATGAGGTCAGAGACCAGCTTACATAATATTATTGAAATGCCTCTAGACTCGTTCCTTTTATAGTTTATTATTTATGGCAAAAGGGAAGGAAAGGAGGCTAACCAAGTTCCAAGGCAGTACTGCCACTATGTGAATCCATACTGGCAATCTTGTATGAATTTCAGCATATACCGCATATAAGAAAGTGATTTCAGTATGTACAAAATGTGGATTTCATTTCCCAGTTCTTTTGGGAAAATTTAAATTGCATCAACACTTACAGCAGAAGCCAGAGGGTTAAACCAACTGGGATGAAAGCCATAGCCAATTTAACTTTAAGATGTATTTTGGTCAACAAAAATCAGAAGGGAAGAAGATTGGAAGGAGATATTCAAGACGTATGTTAATGCACCTTGCCCAAAGGAAAAAAAATCCAATTTCTGGGAAGATTTCACAGAAGTCAGAATGAAACACCCAGAATTTTCAAGATCATAAAAATACTTTGAAAAGTGGTTTGATTAATTTAAGAACTATACATAGTTCAAATGCCTGGCTGTGTCTTGCAGGGGATGAGCAACATCTGAGGCAATATGAAGATTTCTCTATATGCTAATCCAGTCACTTACCATTATAAAAGACATGATCTGGTGGTTTTCTAATGTCAGACAGGATCACGTTGTTTTTTCCAAAACGCTTCCTGAAAAGGAAGGCACATGGTACAATTAGCTTGTACTCTTCAAGATAATGTGTCACTCACTGTTCTGCTACATTAGTTTTAATAGGAACTAATTTGGAGAACTCATTTGGGCAGAGTAAATTTTATGGTATGACTTTGTCTAGTGCAAGCACTCATGCCAATCTATCTTTTTAATTCTCGAGGTACGTCCACATTACAGCCGCTGCAGTGGTACAGCTATTACTCCTGGGGGAAGTCTGAGCCAAAAAATTCTGCAACAAAAAACTAAAATTTCTGTGACCAATATTTTAAAATTCTGCAAAATTCTGCATATTTTGTCAAAATAACACAATATAATCAAACCGGTTTCAATTTATTTTTGGTCATTTATTTCAAAATACCTGTCAGCAAGTATGTCTATAACAATACAGACAACAAAAAAGATTCAGGAAATGTTTTTTGACAAACAGATTCCTTACTAGGCATATTAATACAGAACTGTGAGTAATAATTCATTTAAACTACAGTACAGAACCGTATTTCCCACACCCCTCAGTAGCAGTGCAAAGGCTTGTGGGAGTCAGGGGTAACCGAGGAGCTGAGGGAGAGGGAAGTTAAAATTGCTGGGAAGGAGCCTGGGTAGGAACTTGGAGGGTTGTTTGGTATGGGTGGAAAAAGTATGGAACAGGTTTTTTTGGGAGACGGGGAGGGATTTTTAGGGAGCTTCTCCCATGCAAACCCTGGCTGATCCCTAGCCTCTCCCATTCAGTCAGGTACATCTGCCCTTGTCCCTATGTGTTCCTGCACCTGTATGTGTTCCTCCATTCCCACTCAGACACCCACTCCCCCCAATCCCCATCGCTTCCCTTCCCGTCCCCATGTGTGTCTGTGCCTCCACCTAGCCACCCCCATCCCTATGTGTCCCTGTCCCCCCCATGTGTCTGTGCCCCCACTGTCCCTGTCCCCCTCCTCCTGCCCCCATGTGTCCCTGTGCTCCCACTCAGCCATCTCCCAAGTAGCTCTGCACCCCCTCCTCCATCACCACATGGCCCTGCACCTCCCTGCCCCACTAGCCCTTCTGAGCTCCCGTCTGACCCCCAGCAGCCCCACGCTCTCTGCTTCCTATAGCCCCCCTCTCCTGACCTGGCCTGACAGACTCTCTTCCCTAGCTGCTTGGGTGCTGCTGCTGTGTTCTATCACCACAGCACCCTCTGGTGGGGAAAAGGCGGAATGGCAGCAACATTTCAGCAGAAGCTTTTTTCTGCACAAAAAAATAAAAAATGTGCACTGCTCATTAATTATGTGCATGCAGTAGTGCAGAATTCCCCCAGGAGTAAGCTACTGGGCTCCAGTTGTGTTGCTGTAGTAGAGTTGGTTCCTACTGTGACTAAGTGGGACAGTTCTTAATGTTTCCTCTGAATACTGTAGGGGTGTCTCAGTTTCCCCTATGCATTTCTTAAGTCTCTAGATGAGATAAGGGGGTGTAATTGTTGGAGAGCAAAGGCCCAGTGTACCTAAATGGCCGACACTCTGTCTACTGGCAACTGATGGCCTGGGTCCTTCCCCCTGCAAGGTGATAGCTAAAGGGTTGGAGAACAAAGGAATCAGGTGACCTCCAGGCCTGGGAAAGGGACAAACCCCAGAGGAAGAGGGGCTGGAGGGTGAGTCAGTTTGGGTCTGGCTGGGGACGAGGAGTTAAGTGCAGACATAGTTGTCTGACTCACTGCTCCCAAAATGGACCCAGCTGAGGGGTCCTGTTCTCTGTACCTACAAGCTCTGTTTTAGACCACGTTCCTGTCATCTAATAAACCTCTGTTTTACTGGCTGGCTAAGAGTCACATCTGACTGCGAAGTTGGGGTGCAGGACCCTCTGGCTTCCTCAGGAGCCCCGCCTGTGCAGACTTGCTGTGGGAAGTGCATGGAGGGGCAGAGGATGCTGAATGCTCCGAGGTCAAACCCAGGAAGGTGGAAGCCGTGTGAGCTTTTTGCCCTGAAGACAGTTTGCTCACTGAGAGGAGACCTCACGAGAGTCCCGCCTGGCTTCCTAGGGAGCAGTTCCAGAGCATCACCTGGGGACTCCGTGACACCTATATCAGTAGGAGGGGTTTTTCCCACTGATGTAATTAATCTGCCTCTCCAAAAGCCAATAGTTAGGTTGACAGAAGACCCAGCCACGTCTACACATGAGGTTAGGTTGGCCTAACTGTATTGCACAAGGTGCAAAATTTTTCACAGCCCTGAACAACACAGCTAGGTTGATGTAATTCTTAAATGTAGACCAGGCTTCAGACTTGGTGCCAAAATTTCTCTCTTCTCGGAAAATTTGCAAACAAAAACTAGGTTTAGTAGCAGTTAAAAGTTGCAGCAGCACACACTGTCCATACATGTTACAAAAAAATGCCAGTAAGATGTTAAGGGGAAAGACGTGTACATTGCCTAAGATACTCTTGATATCATACTCCAACACTTCCTAAGGTTTGCATTTCCATCTCCAACAGATACCAGGAAGCAATATGTAATCCTGCTTTACCAAACTGACACTCTAACACACAACCTTAATAGTGACCTCATATGCTTTTATATCAACATATCAGCACATCTGACATTTGGAAAGTTACTCTGCCTTAACATTGCTGAGGTCAATGCTAAGGTTTTGCATTAGAGTGCAAGTTTGACAAAGCTGGGATACATATTGCTTTCTGTTATCTGTTGAAGATGGAAGCGAAAGCTGCTCCCTCTTGCCCCCAACAGCATTCACGCCGCCACACTGTCCTCATCAAATTTGGAGGATTTGTTTTGGTGCTCCCATTATGGCTACAATGCTCTATAGACAAATACTGCCTCTGTGTATAGCAGATATCTAGGAATCAGCACATTAGATCAAGAATGTGGATGAACAGCTCCTAGAGTGTTTTCTTGTGAAAGCAATACAAAGAAAAAAGTGAGATAATCCAGTGAAAAAGTGCCAGAAGGGATCATTTTATGCTCTTATTATTCTCTCTGCATCAATTCACTTTACATCAAACTATCATGAAAAATTAAAATATCGACGTTTCTATCTTATGGCTTTTTGCCCATTCAACTGCAAAATAAAATCTTAACATTCCTGTTATTCGTAACTACGATGCAGCTACTGCACTATAAGAGATAGAAAAATTTATCTTTTAAGTTACTATCACTGAAATTCTCTTCAAGAAACACCATCAATTATGGCAAGGTCCAAAAGTTTGTGTGTTTAGTAAGTTGGTGGGTTTTAGAAAACCCAAAGTGGGTTTCTAAAAAATGTAGTATCAACAGAATTCAAAAAAGATCATGAAAAGAGACATACAAATTAAACATTTGCTTGAGATATTGGGAACTCAAAGCCAGCAGCACTGTGATAGTGCATGAAAAACAAAAAGGGAAACTTACCACAAGCTAAGGCCTTAGATTCTCAAAATATATGCTTAACTTTATGCATCCAAGTAGTCTCACTGAACCCAATGACAAGTCACATGTACAAAATTACACACATTTGCAGGACTAAGGCCAAAAATACCAACAAAAGGAAGAATGACTGGTCATTTTTCAGCTCTAAAATGAGTGAAAGGTATAAGAATAAACAACACAAAAGGTGTAAAATTATGTTTTGAATCTTAATTACATCTTGGATTTCTGAAGTAATAGCAGGAGTTCTAAGGATATTTTAAAATATGGACTTTTAAATTTTAAATGTCCCATTCAGCATTCTAAGATTCTTAGCTTTCATAAGAAATTTTGGGTGCTCAACTTGAGACGTTCAAAATAACCAGTCACTTCTGAAAACCTTGGTCGTGGGATTTTTAACTTCTTAAGATGTATAAAATTACAAAATCAGAACATACCTCAAGAGTTTAGCAAGTCCCACCCCAAGTTGGCCCAGGCCCCCTAAAGAGGAAAACAGAGATTGTAAAAACAAAAGCCAAGTCAAAGAAAAGATAATGATATCGAAATATTTGACTGTTACTTATGTTTTATAGACCAATAGAAGTTCAAAACGTAATACTTCAACTACATTGTTATGGGAACCAAAATAGAAGAGTTTTGTTTACACAGAAACAAGAAACTGAAGACGCTGTTTTAAGGGAAAGGGATGCTTTTACTATATCTCTAAAATAAACTGGCCCAAAAAGCCACAATATTCTGCTAATCCTAACTGGGGGCTACAGGTACTTCTGCAATACAAAATAATACATCATAATAATGATCTAGAGAGATGCTGAATACTCAAAACTCCTGGTTGTTTACATGGAATTTGTAGCTGCTCAGCAATTCTCAGGATCAGGCCTCGATAGAAAAAATGACTGCCAACTGAGAAACAAAAATAAGAATGAAGTAATTAAATGATGACTAACCTGTAATTAACACTCGAGGATGATCAGTCTCTGAAAAAGATACTGAATGAAAGTTGGCATCTGAGGTCACCTGACGTGGTGAGACACCAATACATCTAACTGGCACAAGGGAAGTCTGACATCCACAACTGGGGCTCTGTAGCAACTGACTAAGAGTTCTGCTCAAGTTCTTTACAATTGCCATTTTTGTCTTTTAAATAAAGCTGTGAGAAGAGGGAAAGTATTAGTCACAAATTATTCTTTAAAAAAAAAAATACAGTCTCCCGACATTTAGAACTGTGTAGAATAGTCTGTGTTTAAGGAAAGTTTTATGCAACCCCAGTTTTGTCTGAAGTACCAAACCAGTGCCATGACCTGCTATATGCAGCTCATGAAATAGAATGAATAAGGATAGCATCACACGCATTAGCAGAAGAAAATATTCACAAGTATAAAGAGTCCAGTGTAGCAGACAGTTAGAACCCAAGGTGGTGTCATTTCAACATTCTGCCTAGTCCCTTTTGTGGTGAGTATCAGAAATCACGATACCTATGGCAAATGGAGGCACAAGCTTAAAAAGCAACAGTACCTACTATTATGATTGAAAGCTGTCACTACATGGGTTAAATGGATACATTCTAGAGACTACCTAAAGTCGAGTCAACAAACATTCTCATGGCCTAGTGAAGGGTTAAAATCCATTGCTGATGTAATAACCTGGTATATTGATTTGCGTACAGGCCTGTGGAAAATCCATATATTCCATTATAATCAATTGATTGACAGTGTCTCTGAGCCTAATAAGCGAGGTGACACTCAGTCAGCGCTGTATGTAATACACTCCTGTGCTTGACCCCTACACAGTGTGGATTTATGTCCTTCACCTAGCTTTTCTTAACATTGCATCAAGAAGAAGCAATTACATCACGGAAACTGCAGTAAATCATCTGTAGGACATCACTGTCCCCAAACAAACATTTTTTATATCTATATATATATCTATATATATATATAAACACAGAGCTGATTCTTTTACTTTTTCTTCATTTAAAATTCTTCTTTTAAGAACCCTAATTGTTTTTTCATTGTTCTTAAGATCCAAGGGTTTGGGTCTGTGTTCACCTATGCAAATTGGTGAGGATTTTTATCAAGTCTTCCCCAGGAAACGGGGTGTAGAGTTTGGGAGGATTTTGGGGGGAAAGACGTTTCCAAGTGGGCTCTTTCCCTGTTATATATTCGTTAGATGCTTGGTGGTGGCAGCAATAAAGTCCAAGGGCAAAAGGTAAAATAGTTTATACCTTGGGGAAGTTTTAACCTAAGCTGGTAAAAATAAGCTTAGGGGGTTTTTCATGCAGGTCCCCACATCTGTACCCTAGAGTTCAGAGTGGGGAAGGAACCTTGACATGGTTCCAATGCATCCGATGAAGTGAGCTGTAGCTCACGAAAGCTTATGCTCAAATAAATGTGTTGGTCTCTAAGGTGCCACAAGTACTCCTTTTCTTTTTACTATTTACAGGATGACTGGAACCAGAGAAGCAAGCAAAAAGCAGAACGATTTATTATACACAAGGTTGCTGTTTCCAGGGTTTTATTTTTTTAGCATCTTTTAGTTTTATGTAGATGTGCAAAAACTGGGGGCCTTGAGGGAGCTCCCTCTTTGAATATATGGTAATAAGTAACATACCCTAGTATGCTTTAACATAATATTGTTTCAAACAACACTACATTAAAGCACACTTGGGAGTCTTTAGTGCACACTAATAGGATCTACATGGACCAATTAGCATGCAACACATTAGTGAATTAGATATCACCCCCCACAGACCGCATTACTGCTCCCTGTAGACAAGTCCTTAGATACAAGTTACCATTTCTAGTATTTTTCTGGTGTTTAACAAATTTTTTTTTTAATTAGGTTTTTATGTCTTTATTGGTTAAAGCCAAAACTCAGAAGCCCTATTTATAAAATCTAATCTACAAAATTGCTTTACAATCAAATACTGTTTCATATAAAAAATGGCACACAGTGCATGTAGTTCTTGCTCAGTTAGAGGCACTTCCGCAAGCCTCTGGATTGCTTTCCTCCCCCTGCCCACCCCGTCCATATATTTGGAGAGGAAACAGGAGGGAGGGAGACTGAGCATTGTAGCCTTCTTTATTTACTTGAATAGTTAATATTTACTTGATTAGTGTTCACCCCTAGACAAGTCACAATATGAGAGTTGTTAGATAGCAGACCCCCAAGAAATAACAAATCTTTATTACAGTCACTTGTGGTGAAACCCCTAATCAGGAGAATGGGCACATCCCAGTTTCTACTGTCTAGTCATCCAGTTCTTTTCAACTATGTTCTGGGTGTCACCCTCTCTTATATCACATTATGCTAACACCCATTTTATCCTATGCGTATTCATAATTAATTCACCCCTTTTCTCCTTATCTGAACTTCCACACTCCACTTATTTTAGGGTCCTCAGTTTTCAAAGGTTAATTATCCACCTGTTTCACAATCATTAGCATTTGTGTCACTAGTTGCTATGGCTTTACTGTGGTTAATATTTGAGACTGTCAGTTACATATGCTCCTTAAAAGTATCCTAAAATATCAATAACTTGTTTGCAGTTTCTTATTTCATCCTAATCCACTGACTTACTGAATTTGTTTATCATCAGTCTTGCGACTTGCAAGGTCACTTCCCTGTCATTTACTTATGTCAAGCTACACTTGAGCCTTTCCACTCATGCTTACTCTCAATATAGATACTTAGGCTAGGCCACTACTTGCATTGCAGCAGAAGCCACACCTTAAAGCATTACCTGAAATCCTACACATGCTACAGCAAGTATACATTACATATCCATTCTGAAATTATACTTTTTTGTTTTAATGAAAAATGTTGAGTTCAATCACTGAAGCCCTTCCCATCTCTCTCTCACACACCCCAATTCTCTGCCAGACAGGCTGACTCAGAGTAACCTCACAGATGGGTAAGTTGGTTTTATAGATGCTATTAAAGATGATTTCCTCCTCTCTCCTTCTCATATGAACTCTTAATGTTTGCACAGTAAGGAAAAAGGCTCCTGCTGGAAATTCAGACAGCAATCACTGTCCTAAAAACATTTCCAACACAACCAGTTTCCAGCAAAAGCTGCAGCATGACTCCAATATAAATTAGTAGCATCACTTAACAGAGAAGAGGCATAAAGCACAAACTCAGTTTTCTCAATATCCAGGCCTTAATCTGAAAAGGCAACTTTGAAATCCATTATATTCTGTTATTTTATAGTCACCCGCATCACTTTACCACTTATTAGCAGCTTTGAAGATGGAAGGTGCTAAGTATTATTACGAATATAACAAACTCCTTTTTTCAGGTAGCCTTCTCTTTCCTGACCACCCCAAAGAGAAAATATTCTTGTCTCATTTCAAATGTCAAACGTCTGTTGCCATCTAGATTCTCTGACAAGCTTCTCATCCATTATATTAGCTTGTGAGGGAAATTAACAAAAGAATCAACAATTTGTTCACTATCCTAATTAAATAAAACCAAAGAGTTTCTCCAAAGAAGTGTGTGTACTGAATGTTAACATTCATTTTTTATTAAAAATGAAATGATAAACATTTAAGATGATGCAATAAATCAGAGTTGTTTCTATTCTATCTGAGCTTACCTTTCTTTCTGTTGGTGATTTAGCAGAAGGGAAAGGGATGCCTGCGTTTGGAATTTATAGAGCCCTGCCTCTTTGCTTGGCCAATCAAAATCCTACAAAGAGTAGGAGTTGGCTGGTAGGTAAGAGGAAGAGGGAGGGAGAGATCAACAGCAGCCAGGAACATCTTAAATCAAACAAATGTGATTCTGTGAGGTCTTCACCAGGTGCCATACAGTGTTGTTGTAGCCTTGTTGGCCACGGAATATTAGAGAAACATGGTGGGTGAGGTAATATCTTGTATTGGACCCACCTCTTATGGTGAGAAAGACAAGCTTTCAAGCTCAAAGCTCGTCTCTCTCTCTCTCTCCAACACAAGTAGGTCCAATAAAAGATATTACCTCACCCACCTTGTTTTACCAGCTGATAGGTAGAGAATACTGAAAATATGTAACAAGATTTCTTAGCTAAAGAGAGTACACAACATATGATTATTGCTAAAACCATTTAAAGAGAATAGCTTTTAAATAACTGATAGTGCAAAGCATTAATAAAAAGCAAACAGGCTTGTGTTAAAATGCAAAGCAGCAATTCAGTGCTGAATAGCCGGGAATTTCCAAGTTTTGTAATAAGCTTGTGAAAAAATTACGCAATACCCTCACAACTGACAAGCATTTAACAAGTTAATCTTTCAGTTGACTACCCTTTTTCTGGAGTCTGGCAAATGTTACATGTGCTGATAGGGTAACATGAGCACCTGTTGCTGATGTAAAAGAAAAAAAACATGTTTATAAGTTAGCTGGCTGCTTTCCCCAGTATCAGTTTGGATTAGGGCTGTCAATTAACCAGAGTTGACTCAAGAGATTAACTCAAAAGAAATTAACTTGATTTAAAAAATTAATCGCTATTAATTGCACTGTTAAACAACAATAGAATACCAATTTACATTTATTATAAATATTTTGGATGTTTTTCTACATTTTCAAATATATTTATTTCAATTACAACACAGAACACAGTGCATGGTGCTCACGTTATATTATTTTTATTACAAATATCTGCACTGTAAAAAAGATAAATAGTATTTTTCAATTCACCTCATACAAATACAGTAGTGCAATCTCTATCATGAAAGTGCAACTTACAAATGTGGACTTGTAGGCTAAAGTTTTATAGTTTTATTTTTGAGTGCAGTGATGTAAAAATAATTCTACATTTGTAAATTGCACTTTCACGATAAAGAGATTGCATTACAATACTTGTATGAGGTGAATTGAAAAATACTATTTTTTCTATTTTTTTACAGTGCAAATATTTGTAATAAAAATAATAATAAAGTGAGCACTGAACACTTTGTATTCTGGGTTTTAACTGAAATCAATACATTTGAAAAATGTAGAAAAAAAATCCAAAGTATTTAAATAAATGGTATTCAGTTCTTAACAGTGCGATTAAAAATTAATTCTTTTTAAAATCTCGGTATTAATCACAATTAATCTTTTTAATCGTTTGACAGCCCTAGTTTGGATATTAATGATTTTTATAGATCTTTAAAAAATAAGAAGATAAGGGAACTT